CCAGTCCGACCCCCTTGTTCCATATTTGAAAGGGGAAGTTGTTTTCCCTTATTATTGTGCAGGAGTGTGGCTGAGGTGGCTGCGCCATCCAAGCGCGGTCCGTCGGCCTTCATTCTGGCACTCTTAACTGAATTGAGCTCAGCCCCCCCCCTTGAGGGAGGAGTTTGTGGCGGGAGACTGGCCTAAGGTAACTCATATATAACTAACTTAGCTTGAAGTTGGCAGCGCAGTGGTCTTGTATCTACAACCTGGCTTTAAGACAGTCACAGCGAGCGACGAAGGATACATATCTGGATTTCTATGACGTTGCTCCTTTTCTTTCTTACTCACTTAACTCCAGCGATTGAGGACAGAGAGCCCGATCGCAGATTAGGCTGCCTACTTGAGTAGGGAGTCTACTAACTAGATTTTACCATACCCTAGCCAAGAGTCAGGCTGAGGGCAAGTTACCTCCATATTTTGGTCCCAGCTACCGGAAACTGGAGTCCTCAGAGTCCACTCAGTCAGCGTTAACCGCTGAGTGGGGGTTCGACAGGCCAGGTTTCCAAGAACCAGATACAGAAGCCGGAGTCTTAGCACCCACACTTAGATCAGAGATAGGTGCGGTTCTAAGACCGCTTGATCTCAATACAGGATTACGAGGATATCGTGCACCTGAAACGATGGACAGTGATGACGAAGATCTGAGAGAACCAACGGTTCAGTCACAGCCACGTACTGTCTCGGAAGGACAGATGCAAATCGCCGACATGGATTATGTTCAGCTCCACTGGGAACCTGGCTGACATGACCAAAACTATCGCGCGGTCGTACAACCCTTCAACCTGGAAGTATTGTACAAAGTGGGCATCATTGGCATGCCCAGCCACGAGATCGTGGCTCATTTCCAACAACACGCACTCCTCGACCGACAGCGGCTGCCGTTTCTTTAGCGCGCTTTGGCAATCCCTTGCCTGCCGGTTCACATGTTCATGCAGGCTCGAGGCATCCACCTGCAACACGTGTGCCAAGGACAAAAGAACACACTGGTTCCCCACTGTGCCCTTTGCCGGTCAAACTCAACCCTTGGATGTTGGTAGAAGCCATATGACCCAAAAAATATAAGCCGCGCCACCCCGGACCCCGGGGAAGCGACGAGCTGGGAGAGGACCACCACAACCAGCAGTTTTATTTAGCTGGATGATGATAGGTCTAAACTCACTAACTCGTTACCGGAAACATATTGTACTGCCGTAAATGCAATTTCTCTCTATACGCAGGCCAACTGACATGATATCGTGGTGCTTAGATTTTGATTCTGTAAAAAACGATATAGCCTCGTGGCATGCGTACAGCTCGCTTGAGAAGAGCTTGCTTCTGTCTAATGTTGTGCGCATCGAGCACCTATTCAAAGCATGCTTGACCCTTCTGTGGGCATGAAATGGTACGGCAGGCGACGTCGTCAAACTTGGCAAGGCCCTGCATAAGGTAAGCCATTCTCGACATGCATCCTTATTTAACCACGTAATGCTAGGAGGTACTCTATTACCAGTGATATGCTTCGCGGCGTCTTGGTGGCTGCGACAGTATTCAAATGGGCTTCAGGTGTAGCGGATGCCGCCAAAGATGGCCTGGCAATCGCGTTGCATGCGCAGTCGAAATCATCGTTGCATGGCTGGGTAGCAGGATCTGAAGTGACCACGCGCGGACTGAGGCGTGCGTTGCTCCGCAGAGGTGACGTCGCATTCGTAGAGATCCTGGCACCGTTTGCTTATGAAGCAGCGACCTCTCGACTATGGGATATACTTCTAGTGGAAGGGTTTTCTGGTCCAGTGGCTACGTTGGTCCGCATTGTACGGCGGCTGCATGGAAATGTGGTAATTATACATTGGTGTCTGGACACGTATCCGTCACTACCTACAATAGCAGCCATTGACGCTGACGGCTTTCTCACCAACTCGAGGCTCTTGGCCGCGCGTGGTTTCGAGGTAGCTGGCGGTGCACTTGATCTGCAGTCGGCTTGGTTCCCCACAGCTGATCTGGCACCTCGTGGATTTGCGGCACTCGCAGTGGATCCCGACGAGATGAGTTCAGACTCTGCATTTGTGTCTGAAACGAACAACGCCAAAAACCTGGTTGTATATTTGGGGCAACCATCGCAGGGGAAAAAAATGCTCGCTAATGTATTGATGTCAATCCATCGAAACGTTTCCGGTGCACGTTTAGCCATCTATGGAACTGCCTGGGACCGATTTGCTCTTTGGGACAACGATCATGCGATTCTTGTCGCCTGTTGCTGGCAGGGTGCTCTTCCAAGCGATGAGATTGCCAGACTCTACAGTGAAGCATCTGTCGTACTTGGGACCACCGATTCGTCACAGCGGCGACTAGGCATGGTCAATAATCGAGTCTTTGAGGCGTTGGCCTGTGGTGGGGGTCGCCTTATATCAGTCGAGGAGCAAGGTGAAGATGGATTCCCTGAGTTACAGGCTATGCTGCGAGGACACGGTGACGTGGTATATTCTGCCACCAGTGCGGCAGCGGCTGTCGCTTCATTATTGACCGCACAAAGGGCAACACCAATGGTCATCCGCAACGATGCCGCAGCAGCTCGAGAGCACATAACTGATCGACACACTTATGATGCCCGCGCAGCGGGGATCTTAGAAAACGCCGCACAGTGGCACGGCGATGGACGACCAAGGCTGAGTCGTCCTCTTCTTCTCCTTGTGGTTGATGGCGGTAGTGCCGCCGACTGGGCTCTTTTCTATGGCCTTCTGCCTGCGTTATTGGCGCTTGATCATAGCTGGCGTGTTCAAGTCGTGGATGTGACAACATTTGTATTGGCTGACTGTGCCGGTGCGGCGCTCGTTGCTGCCCGTGGATCCTGGGGTGCGGGGGCCGTGCGTGCTGTCGCGGCACTTGATGAAGTGGCCGCTTGCGCAGTGGGTAGTGGCATCAACGGTGAGCCTCGTCGTCCATCGACAGCACTCTTTTTGAAGAGAGGCTTTGTTGATGGAGAAGTCCTACCTCCTGATGTGCAATGCTCTGAGATGTTGCGATTCGATGCCATATTCCACGACTGCCTGGATGCGCTCCCAACGTGCCTGGAGGATCACCCAAACGCCCAGATCGCACTCGGGGTCGACCTTGAAGCTTTTCGACAAAAATTATCTGCAGCTAGTCTGTTTTGGACTTCGAGGCATTATCGCGTCATATTGGGGACAAGCGCGCCCTGGTATCGTATTCAACGCTCCCTTCAAAATTCTGCTGGTGGGTGCATCCTTGCATTCATTCTCCCTTCGTGGCATGGTGAATCATCTGGCACCTTGGTAAATCGGACAGGCTGCGTTGATGTACGGCGCACGTTACGTATGGAGGCGTTCCCCGCCGCCTTGCGTGCGGGCGTTTCTCTCGAAGTACCATGCGCTCCACAGACTGGATGCGCATTCCTAGTTCTCGCGGGTCTCGCCAGCGGTATCCCATTGCGCGTCACTGATGATAATCCGACACTTTCCAAACTAAGCCAGCTGAACCAGGCCAATTTATCTCAGCTCTTCTCTCTTGAATCCCTTTCCCACACACTCAGGCACGGTATTGAACGAGCCCTAGACGCCCCTCGTTCTGCTGCCATGGTCCAGGTCGTGAAACCGAGACCTGGAGATCGACTACCGTGTCATGTCGATACCAACCGACCTGCCCCAGTATGGAGCTGTTCACTTCCTGTGACCGTGCGCCGCACTGACTTCGTGCCTCCCGACGACGGGGTCTGGTGCGTGCGTGTCAACGAGATGGAACTTCTTTGCCAGGGCGACACACAAGACCATGCAACGGCCAATTTCGAGCTTGTTTCAGATTTTGATACCGCGCCAGTAGTGCAAGTCTCTGCGGTCATCCGAGCGCCAGCCCAGGGAAATGTGAGCACGCTCATCGTAGTCCGGAGATCATATTTCGTCCCAGTAACCCTGATATCTGAGGCGTGGGCGCAAACTTAAGCCCCAAGTATGCTGGTTCAGGCACCCGCAAAATTGCGCCGGCTGGTCGTTTCTAATTGGCACGGCTGACTGCGCCCGGACCTCTCTTACGTCGAGAACACACGGCTTCTTATTACCCCAAGGTGATGCGCCTCCGACTGCGGTATATTACTAGTCCTTACACACCTAATTGTCGGTTCGCTGCAAAGGCTCAACAACAAACAAAACGAGTGCTGAGAATCGACTCGTTCGAGCTCTAGAGTTCAAACAAGCTCACAACTGATGCCCTCCATGGAATTCATAACACTGCTGCGCCACCTGTGGCTGTCGAGCCGGGCTATGGTAATTTTATGTTGAACTTCCCCACGCCTATGTTGCACTTATTGACATCGTGTGGTCCATGCGGGCCATTCGAGGCGCCTAGAGCACCGGACACGCCGTTCCATCGGTCTCCGAGCACATCCATGAAGCCCTGCGGCCCACACACTGCCCGGCAGCGGCTGCTGACGACCACAGGCTACTTCAACATAGGGCTGCCTATTCAAGTTGAACTTCAACATGGGGCTGGGCCGCGCTCGTTTCGGCCACTCTTTTGCTCCAGAAACGTTGGAATAGAGCAAAACTTCATGCGGATGCATTTATTCCAACTTAATTGCACGCGTTTTATGATCGACTAATCGAATTTGGTTGATCCGTCTCACGAAACGACAATTAGGCTAGTCAGGAGGAAGTAGTATACTTAGTGTAATAGCGGCCTAAAGCCCGGTTTGACTCGCGGGTTGTGTGGCTGTTAATCTGACCTTGCATGTCGCTGAGTTGGCAGCAGGGTGACGACCGAGCCCCCAAGTTCACTTTCCTACGGCTCAGCAGCCCCCAGGAGAACTTGAACCCCCGGAGGGAGCTTGCCGTAAAGTTGAAGTAAACTTGAACTAAAATGAGTCAAAAGCAACCTCCTAGGCCCGGTTCGCCCCAAAAGAACCCCCCAGGCCTTGTCGGCCAGGAAAAACGAATCTCCTAAGCCTTGTTAATTCACTTTCCGAAAAGTGGCTAATTCAGCCTCGATCGTCACTCTGGTTGGCAGAGCCTGTCGCAAGAGTTTGACAGCTCGAAAATATGTCGGTAAGGGCGTACTAAACACCACCGAGAGCGTCAGCCAAAACGGCCATGGCAATTCTCAGGTGCTCATTCAAAAGCCGNGTCGGCAAAGCTGAGGCAGATG